CCCCAAAACCCCAAAACCCCAAAACCCCAAAACCCCAAAACCCCAAAACCCCGTTCGAATTTAGACATGTTGAAGCACTGTTTTCAGCTTATTTCAGATTAGGACTAGTGTTGGCGTTCCTTCTGAAGGTACCATTGATAACATCAGTTCCATCATCTACCAAGAATGGCATAACTGGTTGGTGCATAGTACCATCCCAAGGAACGTATCTTGGCTTTCTGAATCTGTATCTGTAAGTTGTTCTGTGGTACTGGTGGTACACAGGGGTTTGTCTGAGTCTCCACTCTTTGTGGGTATCGTGAGTGATGGGGAGTTTGGGGAGTTTCCTGGTCAGAGCAAAGTTGAGGAGATCTGGTCTGTTGAGGAGACCTTTGATAGCATATGGTTGAAGGTAATATACTGCTGGCTTGCTACTCCTGAGTCCTTTAGATAATCCTCTTCCAACCCAATATACTCCCAAAAAGTATACAAGCACACATCTTGAGACATAGCTCTTAATTGGCAACTCTCTCAACAACATAATGGCGAGACCAGTTCTTAGCTGAGTTCTCCAAAGATCTTTACTCATACTCCAATCTGATTTATAAGCTGGTCTCTGAAGGATCTCATCATGACTATTATCATACCAAGATTTCATCAAATCAAGGTCTTTTCTTGCAAGCTCACTGAATTTAGGAAGGTTTTCAGTAAGTGAATGCTCTGAAAGCCCAAAGCACATCAGCTCCCCATTCTGAGCGTAATCAGTCTTCTGATAATTCTGTTTCTTTCTCATGAGATCATCGTATGCATCCTAAAAATAAAAATTAGTCTAAAATTCAGGCAAAATAGGAGAATCCAGTAGAAAACCAGTCATTTAAGGCCTTACAATCTGTTCCTGAGTCTTATGCCAAGTCTTAGGATAATTCTTTTTAGGATCAAGACCACTCATCCTGATTATAAATATTATATATAATTAATTATATAAAGGGGTTTTGGGGTTTTGGGGTTTTGGGGTTTTGGGGTTTTGGGGTTTTGGGG